CTCAGGTTCTTTCTGTTATCCTATTATATATCATTAGTCTACATCATTAACTTATATCTACATCATTAACTTATAAGATCTATTTCTTCCAGCTCCATGGCAACAGGAACAGTTTCAGCCAGGACATTGAAATCAATCTGACTACTGAAATAAAGGAGATTTAACAAGTTTTCCAAAATATTTTTACTTCGTATTTTTTAATGTTTAACACTTTAAAATATGTAAATATGGTCTATTATAAAGTGCATAGTCCTTTATAAAATGTAAATACAGTAATGTATCATGTAAGGCATGGAAATTAATTTCTAACATCTGAAATCCCAAAATTATTTCCACAGAGTTGTAAAGGGAGTTAATTCCATGTTTGAGGTTAATCAGTAGTGATAAAATCTTTAAAACCAAGTTTTTGTTTCTGTTATTTTTTTAATAATTTATCGTGTTGTGGCATTTTATTGAGCTGTAAGAAATTTTTTTTCTTGAATTGGTCATCAAACCAACAATTTGATAATTCTTGACACTTTGTTCATATAATTTACAATTCTATGTTTGTGAATTCCTTTGATTTTAATATTTTATACTTGTAAAATATTCCTAAATAGAAATACTGGTTTGCATATTTCGGTGTTTCTTTGAGTAGAGATTTTTACAAATTTTATGTTGGAATGGTAGTTCGTTACATTGGAATTAATGCAATTCTGATAACTTTTTCCACAAGATTATTTATTTTGTATTTGTACTTCACAAATTTAAATGGCTCTTTAAATGATTTTGTAGCAAATAATAGGGCATGTTTATGCTTATACAGTTAGTTGAGCCATATTGCAATAATTTAAATACTGCATAAATACAGAGTTTTTAATGCTCTTGGCATAGTTTTTTTTCCAACATTCTGCAAAAGTAAACAATTTCTTAGTAATAATTATCATAGGACAGTTGAATGTAGTAACTACCATCTTGAGCAATATGTCTGCTCATACATTATTACCTTCCATGCTCAGCAGCCAGTCCTGATTTCTTTTAAGATCCTAATCAAAAAAAGCCCTCAGAAGTGAACAGACCTTTCTCAACTTTTAGTTAGCCCTAACATGTGACAAGAGATTTGCTTTAACTGAGATATCTAACAGCCAATAAAACTTCAATATTTTTTCAAACTTCTGTTAAACTTTCTATGTTATCTGGCATAGGCCTTTAAAGAGTATAATTTTGCCTTGTTCAGTGCAGAGTAACTCATTTTCAATTCAGAAAGCCACTAAGAACCCCCAAGATAAGCCCGTGTAGTCACATCAACAATAGGATGGAATTTTGAATACTTAGGATTCTCAAACAGGGATCTTTAAGAGGAGAAAGTCAAGCAGAACTGTAGCCAAAGGAAATAAGGAATTTTTTTAAATTATGTAATTAAAATAACTTTTTTTAAATTTGTCAAAATCAGAACTCCTGAACCAGATATAACTCTATCTCAGCCATTTTATTTATGTTTGGCTATGGGAAGACATCAAAAAGTTTATTATTAAAAATATTTCTACAATACAAGGTAAACCAAAAGTTAGATATTCTAGTTAAATACTCTTTAAACAACCTTCAGATTCTGTTGGTAATTGTCTTTATAATATTGGTATTTCATAGGTTTTTATAATTTCTTAACACCTCATCTAATCATTTACATTAAAAAATTTGTACTTTGACAAAATTTGAAAAACTGGAGTATTTTCTTTTTTTTACCCTTAAGTACATTGTTTTGACTTTAAAAATGAAACAAATTATAATTGATCAAACATATAAGCAAAAAAACCTTGCTTATTTGCAATTATTGTTTCTAAACTTGAAGAATTATTTGAATAAACTGGATTTCTTCTAATTTCAGAGTTCTTTTTCTTTGTGTCTCTTGAAAAGCTAATAAAAATATGAATGGTCCTTGGTTTACACACACTTACTACATGAAAAACAACCCACAAAGAGCTGCCTCCACTAGATATTTAAATAAACTTCCAGACTACCTCATTTCTAAGTTGTTTAATATACATGCATTTTAAATCTGTGTATATATCCACAACTAATATTGATTGAGTACAGTTGAGGCTATGTCTTTTTCATAGACATTACTTAAGAGTGATGATTTGGAGGCTTCAAAAGAAAAGTTAAAGCCTCCATATTCTTCAAATATTTTAGGATAAAATTATTTTACTTACATTCTTGCACATGTGGTATTTTTAAACCATTAGATTTTTTTATAGGCATGGTTTTCAGTTCATATGGTGTTAATATTGCTTGAATAACAGTAAATTCCCAGTTATTCATGCAGTTAGAATTATGGAGGAAGAAAATTAAGTTACTGCCATATGTAGTGGCCCACACCTGTAATCCCAGAGGCTGAAGCAGGAGGGTCAAGAGTTCAAAGCCAGCCTCAGCAAAAGTGAAGGTGCTAAGCAACTCAGTGGGACCCTGTCTCTAAATAAAATACAAAAATAGGGCTGGGATTTGGCTCAGTGGCCAAGTTCTCCTGAGTTCAATCCCCAGTACCACCATCCCCCAAAATTGATTCCTCTAAGACGAACATTTTAAAAATTATTTCTGACAAGTACAACTCAAAGAGCAGTAACTGCAGATTCCTGGTTAGCAATTGCTAATGATAAAGGGAAGCTGAGGTTGGTTGTTGATTACTAATACAACATGGACAGGAAATTTTTCTAAGGATATAAATCCTATTCATTCCTTGCTGGGTAAGTCCTGACTGCTTTATTGTTACATAGTATTTTCAAGCATAACAATATCTTTTATTTTGTAAGAAGTTTCCATTGAAACATCCTGTGGAATTATTAATCTCAAAATATTGCATTCTAATTTGTTGGGAAACAACATTTATCTTTAGGTTTGTTACTCTTATTTTTAATGTCTTATTTTCTCTAAGAATAATTTAGAAATATGACAGACCAATTTTTCTTAGTTTTTTAGTGCTGCATGTTAAACCCTGAGCCTCATGCATACTAAGTGAGCACTCTACCACTGAGCTACATCCCCAGCCCTTTTTAAAAAGGGTCTCACTGAGTTGCCTAGACTGCCCTTGTGAATCCTCCTTCAGCCTCTTGAGTAGCTGGGATTACAGACAGATGTTGCCACACATAGCTTCTGTTTCTGTTTCTAAAATTTGAATGATAGTCTGCTTTGGAAGAAGGTCTAAATCAGTTGAATATTTGGTGAATTAAAGGTACACTTACATTCAGTTAGCAGTTATTCCTTATCTGACTTGGGCTAAACGTATGCTATTCTGCTTGTGGGTATGTATTACAACTAATCTTTATATCAACCCTATAAAAGGAAATATTTGCTTATTTTATAAATTCATTTAGAAAGCCCCTCAAGATATTTTTGCACTTAAGGTCATTTTGTGAACATCAGTTATCAAAACATCAAGTATCATTGGTTTGAAAATAATGTCAAATCAGATTTAAATCTTGTTACTTTTTTATTAAATTCTAAACAATGGCTTATGCATCTGATACACACATTTCTTCATTGGAAATTTGAGTATGGCACCCAGTGGTGGATCACACCTGTAATCCCACTGATTTGGGAGGCTGAGGCAGGAGGATCACAAGTTTGAGGCCAGCCTCAGCAAATTATCAAGGCTGTAACCAACTTAGCAAAACCCTGTTTCAACATTAAAAAAATATATATTTTTTAAAGGTTTAGGAGTGTAGGCCAGCGTTATAACAACCTGGATTCAATCCTAGTACAACAAAAAGTAAATAAATAAAAATCAAATACAGGATTGGGGGCTTAATTATAGCATGTGCAAGGCCCTGGGTTTGATTCCCCAACAAAGCAAAAAAATTAGAAGGAATAAAATTTGAATAGTGTTCAGAAAAACAATCCATTAATTTGATATTTCTTCATGTTTGCCGAAGATACAATTTTCTGCTGTGTGCATAGAAATAATTGTAGTCTTTTGGTTAAGATTATTTTAATTATATTAAGAGGCAAATGAATTCTGTATGTTGGGAGTTATGCAAAATCAAGTGATTGACTCCCAGTCTACTGCTTTCCAACTGAAGTGTTTTGAAACCAAGTCTGAATATTAATGGAAACATCATTTTGCTCAAGATTGACTCTGTCCCCACTTTACCTCTTATCATGATATTCTGACGCTTACTCTGCCCCACGTCCCTAGGCAGTTCTCTTTCTACCTTCCTTCCCTCATGATTTTCAGACCCCCGCGCCTGTGGCAGTTTCCTAGAACTCATTCCCACTTTCTTCGCCTTTTTTACAGCAAACTACATCCACTAAAACTATGTTCCAAATATGTCATCTATTGAAATTGCACACACAGCTTGCTGAGTCAGCTGTGTCCTTTTTGTGGTCTCTTACCAATTTTTCAGGTCAAAATATTAGGACAAACTAAAAACTTGTTTCTTTCCCTGCCTGCTGGGTTCTTGATCCAAGAAACTGAAGTATTGAAAAAGTATTTCCTATAATCTGCTGTCACCTTTCAAATGGACAAGTAGAAAATGTGTTAGTGAATAATATTTCACTATATCAAATGTTTTGTTTCGATGTATCAGTAAAAAATAATTCTCAAAGATTTGAACACAGGAATGATTATAGTTTGCTTAAAGATAAAATGAAAATCTCTAACAGTATAAATACACTGTCAAGTTAGGGATAGCAAATGTTTAGTGAACGTCTGCTGCTGAACTCCACAATATGATGGGCATTTGGGCAGAAAAATCAGTTCAGACATTTCTGACTTTAAGAGAGCTTATAATCTGAAGAGTGGGAAAGGCATGTAGAAACCAACCATTCAAGTAAGTAGTCCTGTACATGCTAATGCTTGGTGTTATAGGTCTTAAAGAGGATGACCTATAATTCATTCTGGTGGATGCAGGAATACTAAGAATGAGACAAATCTAAACTGAATATTGAACAATATATTCAAGTTAACATGCTGAGATGGTAAAAGTAAGGTAAGATCTGTAGAAGGAGAAGACACAGGAATACGTAAAAATTATTCCATTGATTTATGTAGTTGGTACATTTAACATGGGGAAGTGAGAGGGACATATCATTTCCCATCTCCTATGAAATGTAATAATTAAACAATGTAAACTGCATATTCCTGACAAGATTGCAACCTAGCATATCATTGTACCATCCTTGGCTGAACTGCATTTTACTACAGGAGTGCAAAGGAAGTACAGGCACATCCCACAGGACACATCCCTGGTTAAAGTCTTCCTGGCAGACTACTTCCTGACTTCAGTGCTGGAGATTGAACCCAGTGAACACATAAGCACATGTTCTACCACTGGGCCACCCCCCCCCCACAACACTTGATTTGTGTGTGTGTGTGTGTAGCAGGAGAGGGGAGTGTATTTTACGATACACATTTAAAAATTTACTATCTTACCCATTTTAAGTTTATGGGTCAGTAGTGTATGAGTACATTCACATTGTTATACAACCAATTTCCAAAACTTTTGCATCCTGAAAAACTGAACCTCTGTACCCATTAAACAACTTCTGATCTCCATAGAGGCTGCATTATTTTGCATTCCTGTCAACAGTGTGTGAAAGTTCCAATTTCTCCATTCCAAAATATTTTTCCTTGATAACAGCCACTGTAATGGATGTAAGGTTTTTGATTTGCATTTCCCTGATGATTCTTGAGTTTCAATTCCTAAGGTTCAGATCTGTCCCTCCATACACTTTCTAAATTGTTTAATATTGGTAAAAAATATGTCCCCCAAACTCAAAACAACATTTTACCAATGTTACTTAAGGAAGATCATATGTTCCAAATAAAAATAGTAGAATACTAGAATCCATATGGACATTTATTTTAAAAGTGTCTTAAGTATCAAAAGCCAGATTGGCATCTTGGTATTGCAGTTAATGTTGAATGTAAAGAATTTTCTCCACATTTAATCTTTCATGTGTAGTTTATATTTGCTTAGTATGTTTCAAGTCCCATACCAGTTGATAATATATTTAAGAAAATTGTGGAGAAGGAAACAAAAAATAAACTCAATATGGAAGATAATATTCTTCTAGGACTGGGGGTGTAGCTCAGTAATGGAATGCTTGCTTTGCATGCACAGACCCTCAGTTCAATCCCAGCACTGCCAAAAGAAAATGCTGCATAAAAAGCTACTGATCATTAAAACTATATTGTTTGATAATCAGAGAGCTATTTTAAGCACTTACATTCAAATATGTTATATGTACATGGTTAATTTCTTTTTTGGTAACACCTCAGAAAGTTGACTAAGTTTGAAGTTAACAAGCATTACAATGTTTCCCATTTAAAAATTAAGAAGTGGCACTTCCACGGATTCCATCTCTTAGGTCCCCTTCTTCCTCCGGGAGAAATCTTTTCTGCTGTCCTTTAATAAACTTCTACTTTCCACTCTGAAAAAAAATAAAATAAAATAAAAATTAAGAAGTAGATCCTGTTCATGCATGACTGGTTTTCAGGAAAGAATTACTGCCTTGGGACTGGGTATAGCTCAAGCGATAACACACTCGCCTGGCATGCGCAGGGCGCTGGGTTTGATCCTCAGCACCACATAAAGATGTGTATCCACCGAAAACTGAAAAATAAATACTAAAAAAAAAAATTCTCTCTCTCTTTAAAAAAAAAGAATTACTGCCTTTAAAAGGGTGATACTTCTATTTGGATCTGAAGAACAAAAAAGTAAATAGTTATTTTTAAATAGTTACACATTTGCAGAACAATTTGGAAAATATTTCTTTTGAAATATTTAGGTTGTTGACTGGATGACACACCATCCCTGAATACTTTAGTGTGTGTTTTCTACAAAGAAGGTAAGTCTCCTACTTAATAATATGACCATTGAGATTAAGAAAATTGACACCACTACATTAAAACTGCCATCTACTACTCAGACCTCATGCAATTTTCACCATTCATCCCAATAACAGAATTTATAGCAAAGGATGTGTGTTAGGATTACAGGTATTGTTTCATTGTCAGGTCTCTCTTAGTCTGGAAATATGCTCATTCCTTGATTTTTAGAAGCTTGACACTTTTTTGGTCTGTGGTGCTGGGGATTTAACTCAGGACTTTGTGTGAGACAAGCTCTCTACCAATTGAGCTATATCCCCAGCCTGACACTTTTGAAAAGTATTATTTTATGCACTGCCCCTCAGTTTGGATTTATATGATGTTTTCATATTACATTTATGGTATGCCTCTTTGATCCCTTTCTTTTCACAATGAGCAATTACATTTACACCAAGATTTAGAAAACATGTAGGCCCAGATGTAGGAAATGATGAAAAACCCATAACAACCTATAGTGCACCTACAGTCCCAGCTACTTGAAGACTGAGGTGGGGGGATATGTGGAGCCCAGAAATTCAAGGCAAGCCTAGGCAACATTATGAGACCATCTCTCAAAAACAAAAACTCAAAAAGAAAAATGACCGTAAGTTTCTATTCAAAGAACTCCACAGAAAGAAGACAGACAAGAAGTTTTTTGCCACAAATAAAACTTATTACAGATTAACATACAGAACATACTTCTGGAAGTCAACCAAAGAATATTGAGCATCCTGTGAATTGAATAGACAAATCACAGGAAAGGAAGCCCAAATGAGCAATGAACAATGAGATGTTCAAACTAGTAGAAGAGAAATATAAATTAAAATGAGATGCCACTTTAGAACAGCAAAACTTAAGAAGGGTGGATAATAGGAAAAAAGATAAAAATAGAGGAGTGGATTCTGACAATGGAACATATTAGAAGTTAGAAGCTAACAAATAGCATAATAGTCACCATTTGATGAAATCAGAAACAATAACGTGTATATTTGCATATAAAAACTATATATTTTACATCAATTTTTACATAGATAATTGGATATATATCAAAATGGTTAGCTGGGGCTGGGGCTCAGTGGTAGAGCACTCGCCTAGCATGCATGAGGCACTGGGTTCCATCCTCAGCACCACATAAAAATTTTAAAAAATAATAAAATAAAGAATAATAAAATAAAAAGGCTAGAGGGCTAAGGATATAGCTCAATTGGTAGAGTGCTTGCCTTGCATGCACAAAGCCCTGGATTCGAACCCCAGCACCACAAAAAAAAAAAAAAAAAAAAAAAAATTCAAAGCCAGCCGCAGCAACAGCAAAGTGCTAAGCAATTCAGTGAGACCCTGTCTCTAAATAAAATCCAAAATAGGCTGGGAATGAGGCTCAGTATTCGAGTGCCCCTGAGTTCAATCCCCAGTACCAAAGAGACTGTACATGGGAAGAAGGGTTGGGAAAACAAGGAATTTTGTTCTTAGTTCTTAGATGACAACATGCTATCAAATGAAGAAGAGAATTAATTGTACCTGTTTGAGATCCATAAGAAAGGAGTTAATTTCCATATTAAAACATAAAAGGGTAAATCATACCTATAAAAATTAGCATGTAACTTGACAACTTAAAATGCAACTTTTTGTTGATGGACACAAATCCTTTATTTTATTTTTATGTAGTACTGAGGATCAAACCCTCATCTGAGATGAGCACTCTACCACTGAGTCACACCCCAGCCCCCAGAACTGTTTTAAAAATGTTTTATGAGATGACAACCAAGTACAGTGCTAGCCAAGATTATAAATGCCTTAAATTGAATGGACAAAAAAAAGTATTAAAAATTTTTCCCTTTTTGGGATGTTGAGGTAAAAATATAATTTCTTACAATATTCTGTCTCTAATTCTCTGATACCAACTGGATGTCTTGCAGCTCAATTCTGACACACCTAGAGTTAACAGAGACCTCACAAGTGAAAAAAATTCTTTTTTTTTTTAAGAGAGAGAGAATCGAACCCATGCCAGGCGAGCGCGCTAACCGCTTGAGCCACATCCCCAGCTCAGGGCAAATTCTTTCATAAGATATAATACCATGCTGACTTCAGACTCTAACTTCAAGTTTCAGCAGTTCCTAAACACTGCTGACTACGGATTTAGGGGTTCTATTATATAGTCATTATTAAATTATTGGTCACTTGGTTGAATTCAGTCTCCACTTACCACTCCCTTTCCTAGAAGTCAGGCCAGTCCACAGTTGACTTAATTGTCACAAGGTTGGTCTTTCTGGTACCAGCCCCTTCCTGAGGGTATCTAGGGGCCCACCAGAGGTTACTAAATGGGTATAACAAAGATACTTCTATCACCCAAGATATCACAAGCTTTGTGTCACCACAGAATTTCCTGTGTTGATTTCAATAAACAACATATTTACATTCCAATTACCAGAAGGCATTTGAACTAGGAGTTAAAATATTCTTTAATCTTTTGAGAATTATAATTTTATAGGAATCTTTTACAGACCAATATCATGTATAATTTTGATGTAGTATATAATTCTTATAAAGTATGAATAATTCCTATTTTAAATGGTAAAATATATCAAGAAAAAAATCAATGTTTACATATTTTAAAAGAAACTAGTCAATTATGTAGGAACAAACTTTTTTTTGTAGTTGTAGATGGGCAGCATACCTTTATTTTATTTGTTTATTTTTATGTGATGCTGAAGATGGAACCTAGTGCCTAACACATGCTAGGCAAGTGCTTTGCCACTGAGCTATAGCCCTAGCCCCTGTAGGAACAAAGTTTAACATATACATTTAATTTGAAGGATCTGATCATGTAAACAATTTTAAAATTCTTTGACCAAAAGGAGAAAGGTAAACAATTAAATTAGAACATTTTTTGGTAAACAACAAAATTTAGAACTGCAGTTTTACATGACAAGTAATTAGCAAGGATTAGAGACTGATGGTTATGTTCTACAAGAGAACACACTCGTGCACACATGTAAGACAGAAGCAAAGAGCAAAGAAAGGTTTAAGAATTATAGTTTTTTTTTTTATTTTGCCATTTTTTTGTTGTTTGTTTTGTTTTTAAGACAGTCTTGCTGTGTTACCTGAGCTGGTCTCAAACTCTTGTGCTCAAGGGATTCTCCTGCTTCAGCCCTGGGGCATTACTTGGAGTAGCTGGAACTATAGGAACATGCCACCATACCGAGCTGTAGTGTTTATTAAGATGACTTCACAACCCAAATAGCAAAACCTGATATTGTAACTGCCAAGTTCCTAATCCACCATCTCTCCATTTACCCTGTTTCCAATAGATTACAGAGGTCATACAATATAAAGCAGGGGAGTGGAAGGCAGACAAAAGTAGTGGTGGTCTTTCCTCCCTGGCACTGAGTGGCATGAACAACTTGGATGCTTTTCTTTTTAAAAATATTAACATATATTAATTTTACAATTATTAATATTACAAACATTAAAGAGTTCAGTGTGATATCTCTTTGCAATAAGTACAATGTGCACTAATAAATTCCAGATTCCCGTTACCCATCTTCCCACTCCACCTCCCTCCTCAGTCTTTAGTAATTCACTCTTCTACTTTCAGGCTGACTTTTAAAAAACTTCCACACATGAGAGAACGTGTGAGATTTGTATTCCTATGTCTGGCTTATTTAAATTAACGTAATGTCCTCTAGATCCATCCATTTTGGATGAAAGGATTTCATTCTTTATGGCTGAATAATACTCTATTGGGTATGTACACCACATATTCTTTATCCATTCATTAGCTGATGGGCATCCAGGTTGATTCAATATTTTGTCTTTTGAGAATAGTGCTACAATAAATATGGGTGTACAAGTATGCCAATTTCATTGCCTTTGTATGTATACCCAGAAGTGGACCAGCTGGATCATATGGTAGACTTATTTTGAGTTTTTCTGAAGCACTTCCAAACTGTTCTTTGTATTGATTGTTACTAATTTACATTCCCACAAAGAGTATATGAGTTTTTTATTTTCCACATCCTTGTCACAGTTTGTTTTGTTTTGTTGTGCAGTACTAGGGGTCGAATGCAGGGCCTTCCACATCCTAGGCAAGTGCTCTACCACTGAACTTCATCCCCAGACCTTTCCATTTTTCACTTTGAAACAGGGTCTTGCTAAGTTGGCCAGGCTGGCTTCAAACTTGTGATCTTCCTGTCTCAGTATTCCCAGTAGCAAATATTACAGGTGTGTACCATCATGCCTGGCATTTTTTTGTTGTTTTGATAGTGACCATTCTAACTAGGGTGAGATAATATCTTTGTAGTTTTGATTTCATTTCTCTTATGGTTAATGATATTGAGCAATTTAAAAACTATTTGTTAAACATTTGTAATTTTGGGGGAAGTATCTATTTATATCATTTTTTCATTTTAAAATTAAATTACATGTTATAGGGGTTTTTTTTAGTTCTTTATATATTCTGGACATTATTCCTTTGTCAGATACATGAACATTTAAAAAAACTGTTTTTTTTTTCTGTTCTTGGTGCTGAAGATTAAGCCCAGGGCTTCTACATGCTGGGCAAGTGCTCCATCATGGAACTACAACCCAAGCCCATGATCCTGTTTTGAAATCCATACATGTCTGTTTCCTCATTACAAAATACAGGGTAATAATATTTGCTCCATAGGATTACTGTATAACATTTTTATACAATAGTGTTATAAATAAGAAGGAACATGTAAAACACATAGTATATAGGAAGCACTCAAAAAAGTATTCTTATTTGTTGGGCTTGGTGGTGGTCACCTGTATTCAAGGCAGGAGGATCCCTTAGGCCCAGAAGTTCAAGGCCAGTCTGGGCAAGATAGCCAGAACGTGAAAGAGAGAGAAAGAGGGAAAGGAAAAAAGAGAAAGAGGGAAGGGTGGATGGAAGGATGAAAAGCAAAGCAAAGAAAAAGTGTTTTGTTTTATAGCACCATATGACTTAACTTTTCAGAAGTACTACTTTCCCCGACTCATCTACTCATGCACAACCCTAACTACATTAATCTCATCAATTCCAAACATTGGTTTCTGATTCAAGCATCTTCTTCCCCCATCACCATTCATCATTCCCATTTCTCCTGTTCCCAATCTACTAGGAAAATACTCTCATTCTCATTTCGTTTTGGGCCTTTCAGGTTTAGGCAAACATCTACCTTTTTTTAAACTTTTTGGTCTAACCTCCTCAGGAAGTGCAATAGCTATTGCAATTATACAAGTAGACTTTCATCTAGACCTTGTGCCTAATAGAAGAAAAAGTAGGCCCAGATATCCACCATGTCAGCTTAGGTACTGACTTCCTTAACAAGATTCCTAAAATGCAATAAGTAAAATCAAGAATCAGCAAATGGGATGGAATCAGACTAAAAACCTTCTTCACAGCAAAGGAAACAATAACATGAAGAGAGAGCTTACAGAATGGGAGAAAACTTTTACCACATGCACCTCAGATAGAGCATTAATCTCCAGGATATATAAAGAACACAAAAAATTTAACACTATAAAAACAAATAACCCGATCAATAAATGGGCTAAGGAACTGAACAGAAGGAATACAATCCATCAACACTGAAAAAATGTTCAACATCTCTAGCAATTAGAGAAATGCAAATCAAAACTACAATGAGGTTCCATCTCACTCTATCAGAATGGCAATCATCAAGAATACAAACAACAATAAATGTTGGCGAGGATGTGAAGAAAAAGGTACACTCATACATTTCTGGTGCGCAAACTGCAAACTGGTGCAACTACTCTGGAAAGCAGTATGGGGATTACTTAGAAAACTTGGAATGGAACCACTATTTGACCCAGTCATTCCACTCCTCAATTTATACCCAAAGGACTTAAAATCAGCATACTACAGTGTTGCAACCATATCAATGTTTATAGCAGCTCAATGCATGATAGTTAAGTTACAAAACCAAACTAAGTGCCCTTCAACAGTTGAATGGATAAAGAAAATGTGGTACATATACACAATGGAATATACTCAGCCTTAAAGAATGAAATTATGGCATTTGCAGGTAAATGGATGGAACTGGAGAATGCTATGCTAAGTGAAATAAACCAATCCCAAAAAACCAAAGGCCAAATGTTTTCTCTGATGGATGCTAATTCACAAAAAGGGGAGGCTAAGGAAGAATAGAGGTACTTTGGATTGAGCTGATGGGAGTGAAGGGACAGGAGGGGGTATGGGGGTAGCAATGAATCAGACATTACTGCCCTATGTGCATATATGATTACATAGCCTGTGTAATTCTCCATTGTGTACAACCAGACGAATGAGAAGTTTTACTTCATTTATGTATGATGTGTCAAAATGTATCTACTGTCATGTATAACTAATTAGAATATATATATATATATATATATATATATATATATATATATATATATATATAAAGTTTAAAAGGGGCTAAAAGTTTAGCTCAGTGGTATAGTGCTTACCTAACATGCTTGAGGCCCTGGTTTCAATTCCTGGCACCGCAAAATAATTTTTCTTTCCTCTTTCTGATGCTGAAAGGGAATATTCAAGATTAAGGGTTCCACAGCTAGAATTAAGACTAGAAATAATTTGTTTATTCAATAAATATCGAATGCCTGTTACAGGAAAGTGAAATCTTGACGGGAGAATTCCCAAACTTTCCAATTCCCGATCCAGAACGCTGAAAAAGCACTCCAGGAGGCCAAAATGAAGACATAGTTCCCAGAGAACTGGATGGGGAGAAGAACCAGCCGAGCTAGGTCTGGAGCCTGATGGGAAAAGAGGCTCTAGCAAGAGAAACAAGTAAGTGCGACCCTGGGCCCCCTCGGACCGTTTCTCCGCCGATCCGCGCGAGGGCGCTGCTCTGTTCCTTGCGGGCCGTGCCCTGGCGGTGCCGCCTGCTCGCCTTTTCGCGGCGGAAATGCCGGGGCGATGACGGAAACCCAGAGGGAGGGGAGAGAAAGAGCGAGAGAGAAGGGCCGAGAGATCGAGGAGAGGAGAGATTGAGGGAGGAGGCGGCGGGTAGTTATCGTCCGACCGAGCCGAGGGCCTGCACCGCGCTCCCAGCAACTTCCCGCACCTTTCACCGACTCCGGCGGCGCGCGGCCGGGCGGGGCAGGGCGGGCGGGAGTCTCCTGGAGGCTGCGTGCCTGGAGCCTCCCGCTGGGCTTGGGCGGGGCCCTGGGCTCGCGGCCGCCCTCCACCTCTCCCTCGTCTCCAGCTGAGAGCTGGCTTGTGCGTCAGGGGAGGCTAGCGTCGCGGGCGGAGGCGGGGGCGGGGGCCGGGGCGGGTGGGGGCGGGGAGGGGGGAGGGAGGCGGCTGGGAAGGGGAGTTGGCCGCCATGGACGACAAGGCGTTCACCAAGGAGCTGGACCAATGGGTCGAGCAGCTGAATGAGTGTAAACAGCTTAACGAGAACCAAGTGCGGACGCTGTGTGAAAAGGTAAGAGTGAAAAGAAAAGCTCGGGAGCGCTGGGCCGAGCGAGGGGCGGGCGCGGCGGCCTCTCCTCCTGGGCCCTTTGCCCGTGCGCGACCTCGGGCTGCGTTTCTCTTGCCCCCCCCCCCCCCAATCCCTACCCGGTGGCCTGGCCAAGCCAGTCCAGGACGTGAGCACCGAGCTGTCCTCGCCGTTCCCCTTGGTCCCGGCCGGACGCGCAGGTGCTAGGCCTAAGGAGTCCGCTGTAGATGAACTGAAGAAATGTATTTCTCGGAACCCGCGCCCGAAGTTCGGTTATGGTCCCCTTCACTGTTCTGGGGAGTTCATTGTCACTTCAGCTTCTTTCACACGTGGACGACCAGTATCGGCGATTTAGGATGCCCGAAAATTATTCAAACGCAGTCTCTTTGAATATGCACCGAAAATTAATCTGAAAGTCATTAGTATTAAAGAATTTTGTAACGTAAAATTGTTCTTAGATAAATGGGTTCCTGCAGAAATCAGTGAGTCGGAGTGTGTCAATCATTTGTATAGAAGTGGGCGTGATGGCAGGCGGATTTTTTAAAAATCGAGATTGATTTTGGTAGAAGTCTTGGCGTTGAGTGGTTCTTGGGAGTAATGTTGATTTTCAGAAACAAGACAGCAAGTATTAAATTTCAGAATAGTGTTTGCTTTGAATGATATGTTTTCGAGTAGGGTAGCATTTTTTCAGAAATTTCCATTTTTACTGTATATAAAGATTTTTTCTTTTCCAGAGATTAAAAAAAAAAAAAAACATGCAAGAGACTAGTTATTTAGGTCGTTCTTGAATATGTGATCTTCGTTTTCTGAATTCTGTATCCAGTGTTGTTGTTGTTGTTGTGCCTAGGGTTGAACCCAGGGGCGCTTATCCATTGAACCTTTAAAATTTGTTTTGACACGGGGTCTTCTCTAAGTTGCCTGGGGCCTATATAAGTTGTTGAGGGTGGGTTTGAACTTGAGATCCTCCAGCCTCAGTGTCATGTGTACTACTACTCCCAGCCTGTACCCAGTGTTTTCTTAGCTGCTAAAATTATTTCCATCTCTCCATCTTAAAGTCTGGAGTTTTTCTTATACATCTTTTGTAATGTGAATTAAACAATTTTCCCAAATTTTTGTGTTGAAAAGTTCGATTTAGGGTCCATGAAGGAATAAGGAAGGAGGTTATTTATTTCAATCCAGAATCTATAAAATTATCTTAGTCATACGTTTGAGACTCAGGATGCCCCAGAAATGCACTAAAGAAGGAAAGATTTTCTTGGTGTTATTTATTAACAGGGCACTATTAAAGTTAAGCAAAACTGGGGCTGGGGTTGTGGCTCAGCGGGAGTGCAGTAGCCTAGCATGTGCAAGGCCCTGGGTTTGATTCTCAGCACTGCATAAAAATAAGTAAACAAAATTGTGTCCAACTAAAAAATAAATATTTTTTTAAAAAGTTAAGCAAAACTTAGAGATGGAAGAGTAATTAATAACACAATTTAAGTTGAGCATGATCTTTGTATATTAAATAACCACGCAGAACAGGAAAAATTGTAAATACAACTGTGGAGGAAATGATCTCTCTCTGAAACAAACTTTACTTGCAGTTTCAATTACTTCAATTTTTCTTGTGTAGTAATCTCACAAGTCTTAAATTTTAGTTTTTAAATGTCTCTCTAAAGCTCAGATGTCACTGAAATATCCAGTTTTGAAGTCAATAAATCTTGCTATAAGTGTCACATACAGAATTGTGCTTTATTTTACAGTCTTCTGCTAGCATCTGTGGCATACCTTGTGGTTATGTGTATATTTAGATGTATTTTTCTTGTATTCTAACGTTAGTCCTAGTTGGATTTTGTAACAACTATGCATTCCACCTGTCTGAATTCAAATCCTGTTCCACATCCTTCTAGCTGCCAGTGTGTTTGCACTTCTGGTTCCCTTTATGTGAGACAGGGATAATAATTACTGATATCCTGAGTTGACTTTATCTTAATAGTACCCATGTAAAGTCCTGATAAAAAATAGGCATGTGGTGAATGTTAAATAAAAAAAGGATAAATTTTTTAATGCATTTTCTTTTGGAAAGAAATGTAAAATAGATATGTTGATATGACTTCTGGTGAAGGTACCTCAAAGGAGGAGATCCTCACTGCCCTCTACTGTATTCCACCCCACTACTGGGAATTGAACCCCTAGTCCTAAAAGGATTTTTATGTATAATGACTATATTGTATTTCCTCTTCATCACAAAATACTGTAGAATTTTGTAAAAAGTAACTACTCTTAACTTAGTTGGTTTTTTTCTTTCTTCTTCTTCTTCTTCCTTTTTTTTTTTTTTTTTTTGTACCAGGAATTGAACCCAAGGGCACTCTTACCACTGAGCTACATCTCTAGGCATTTTCCTTTTTTATTTTGAGACAGTGTCTCACTAAGTTAGTGAAGGCCTTATTAATTACTGAGGCTGTTCTTAAACTTGTGATCCTCCTGCCTCAGCCTCCCAAATCTCTGGGATTAAGGCATGCCTCATTGTACCTGGATAAGTCCTAATACTTATCCTTCAGTTCCAGAGCAAAAAAAGGCAGGCATATAAAACAGTTAAACCTAATTATATGTCATCTCTTTTTAAATTCCTTTTCATTACATTTTTAGTTGCATGATTTTTGGATTCTGTTTGCTGTGCTACTCTATAGAAAGTCACATGAGAAGGCAGTGGTTTTTCCTTTTAAATTAAATTCTTCTTCTAATTTCAGCCTAAAACTGAAGCTTGTCAGATGAAATTAAGACCAAAGTAGTACTAGTAAAGTCCCTATTTTGAGATAGTGGCAAAAATAAAACTCACGCTCCAGCTAGTGGGCGAATGACTACCAAAGTAAGAATGTGAATGGTATGTCTGGCTTTGAGGTTAATTTCAGCCTAGTGAAAAATTGTTGATATAAAATAGTAAAGCATATCTTCTGAGAAGACTCTTTTACAGTAACCTAAATTAGCAACCCAGCTTTTGAAGCTAATTGTGATCTTGAGTCCTCTCTGAGAAACTGCTTCTGTGATTCATTTCTGCAACAGTGGTATGCACAGTACTTTTTAAGAATGCTGTGTCTAATACCCAGTCTGGCACTGTTTGGGACATACTGTAAATAGAACTATATATATTTAACTCTTGCCTTGAGAAGGGTAAAAAATTTTAGGCTCTTTGACCTGATAAATTTTATTCTATAACTTCAACCTTGGTGATGATACTCTAGGTAGAAAGGGAAATTTAGTCAGCCTATGTGCTGGCAGATCTTTATTCTGATGAATTTTCTTACTGAGGAAAATTTTGAGGCTTGGAGTAGAAGTATAGCTATGTAAATTTTGTATTGAACTAATGGGTACATTTTTGGGTCATGGTTTCTTCTTTTAAATAAGCAGAAATATCTATAGGATATTATTTAACTTTGGCAGTTTTTGTTTTTGTTTAGGGTACTGGAAATTGAACCCAGAGCCTTTCTCATTGCTAGGCAGACGCTTTGCCACTAAGTTGTGAACCAGCCACATCCCTGCCCCCCCCCCTCTTTTTTTTTTGAGACAGTCTCACTAAGTTGCCCAGGCTGACCTTGAATTTGTTATTCTTTCCTGAGAAGCTGGGATTACAGGTATGTACCACCATGCCTGGTACATACTTTATCCTGTTTATGTATGTATTTTTTTTTTTTTTTTTTTTTTTGGGTGGTGGTGGTGCTGGGGATTTGAACCCAGGGCCTCATGTATGCTAGGCAAATGCTCCACAGCTGAGCTACACCTCCAACCTTACTTCATTATTAATGTGAAATAGCATGCTTAAATCCTGAATGTCCAGAATCATCTTATGAAGATTAGATCCTGGTAATATTGAACAATTTTTGTGAGTTGAAGAAAATCTTGTACATTATTCTCTGGGATATGTTGCCAGCTGAAAAAGAAAAGTGATGGTTACTGATGCTTTCATTTTAAAATTTCCCTTGAACAAGGATTAGTGCCAGCCTTGGTGGTCCATTGATAAAGTCTGATGCAGTGATGTAGAAAATAGCTCTTTTCTTTGTGATGATAACAAAGAATGACATGGTTACAGTGGAATATGAGGTTAAGACCCAATTCTAATGACTGAACAAATCATGGTTTTTCATGCCTGTCTGAGCTGATAGGTAAAGAAATTAAGCCAAATGAGAAATAGCATGAACTATTGCTAACGACTAGCTGTTAAATCGGGTAATTTATTGACATGATATGAAAAATCATATACCTAGGTAGACAAAATGAAGTTGTTTACATTATAAAATTTTGGGGGGGGGCTGGGGTTGTAGCTCAGTGGTAGAGCATTTGCCTCATGTGTGAGGCACTGGGTTCAGTTCTCAGCACCACATATAAATAAATGAATAAAATAAAGGTCCATCAACAACTAAAAAAATATATTTAAAAAAAGGTTTTTTTTCATTGAGTAATTTTATTTGCAGCATATGCCTTCTGATTTTAATCATGTCCAGAAAAATTTCCTTCTCAGTCTTTTCTTCAGGATAAACACTCTGAAGGACTTTAAATATAGTCCTCCTTTGGTGAAAGCAAAACAATGTACAAGAAATTGAGAAGACAATCAATGCCCAGTTAATTTTTGTAAATTCGAACTATTTTCTGAATTTAGTTTTTTTCTAATAGAATG